TCTCATGCCCTCCCAGATGGAGCGGGCAGAGCTGGCTTTGCGTGACCCGAGGGAGACGGTGGAGTGAAGTGATAGGACCCATAGGCCTGTTCTACCAGCTGACCTTGCAGGAAAAAGCAGTGTCTACACTGCCACGCTCGGCCCTTGGTATTATTACCAAGAATGCCTGGGTTTGGAGTCAGAGCCCTGGGCTGCCCATCCTCCTGTCCTTTTTAAACTTCAATGCCTGATTTGGGGGGCATAGCCTCCATTTTCTTCTCTCACGTTCCCCTTTCGCCCCAATCTCGTTCATTTGCCTCTCCCCATGCACTGAGCAATGGACTGCTATTTGTTGAATTGCTCATAGTCCACCATAGGTACTGCACTCAGTTTACCAGGGGCTGAGGCCACTGTGCCTTAAAGGATTGTATCCCACAGTCCCTTTCTACTTCCTGCTGCAGGCCCACCTCCCACGCATAAGCTGGAGGCCAGGTAAGGCCAACAGCTCTTGGCAAACGCAGCTATGTCTCTCCCTGCCCTCTGCAGCCAGACTGAGCGGGAGGACCACAGACCTAGATTATAGGAGATGGGAGAGGGGGAGGGGTGCAGTGAGCCACACCCCGGAGCTCTGCACGCCGAAGACGTGCGCTATGAGCACGATTTTACCAGAGCCCCGAAGAGGGCTACTGGGCTTTCATGCAGCTAGTTTTATAAAGCAGCACTTTTGAGACATTTAATTTTTTCCTCGCAGGTACAGAATGCTAGGGTGATTGATAGGGCAGTGGATCCCCAATACCTGCCTCTTAGAAGTGACGTTTGAACATCAGCAAGCACAGTGTCTAGCTCCTTGCAGACATACAAGAAGTGGGAGCTGTGATGGTTCTTAACAAAGGGTGACAAGGTCGCTGTCTCACCTTGTCACCAGGGCTGCTGCTTAGTGTCTGTCACTGACTGTTCTGAAGGTAGCTGCCCACATTGACAGTTAAATAAGCAACCAGGCCTGGAGGGGTGGGAACACAACCTAAGCTGCCCATCACCTCCTACAGACAACTGCGGGAGCTTGGCCAGGCCATTAATCACATCTACAGCTTTCCATGGTCATATCCGACAGCCGGTGGCATCTGCCTCTCCCGGCTGCAGTGGTTCCTGTCTCCTGTCCTTCCCACTGACAATCTTTGGGATTGGGAAAGAATACAAAGCCTCGATTCCTCAGCCCTGAACTGTGCAGACACCCAGGGGTCTTGGGACAGAGCTGGGTCTGGGGAGGGCTCTGGGCGGCACAGGGATATTGCAGACACAGGAGGGTGGCCTGTAGCATGTAGACGACTGATGGGGCATCAGGTGACAGGGGCACAACTGACGCATATATTTCCATGTTTATTACCTGTCTCCTCCAGTAAACCATAAACTTCACGAAGGCAGGGCCTCAGCCAATCCCAGTCTCAGCTTTATCTTCCGGGACATGGGGTGGTGAGAAGGTAAAAAAACCACTGAATGAACAAGTGTTCATTGAGTTCTAAACTCAGATCTGCCTTCGAGCGTCTTTGAACAGATCTTTTCCCTCTCTGAGTTTCAATTTCCTCACCTGTAAAATTATTGTACCTCAAGGCTTACTCCTCACCCTGAGCAGCTGGAGTTCTTTTCAGACCTGGGTGTGTTGTTAAAAATGGCCTCGGGGCTTGGAGGCAGCAGGAAACATTTGGGGCGGCCACTTAACCCACCTGGATCCGTTACCTCCCACACCCTCACCTCTGACACCACTTTGGTTGTATTAGCAGGGAAGCCACGTGAGGGCATGACCATAGAGGTGGAACCTCAGATGTGGGCATCAGAGAGCCTCTGAGCCCAAAGATCAGTGGCGCCACCAATTACTGCAGGCTGACTGTGTGGCAGACACTGTGCTGTGGGCTCCATGAGCGTTGGATTCCTCACAGGATGCTGGGGGGCTGGGACTAGGCCTGAACCCATTGTACAGATGAGTCAAGGAGGGCCCGGGAGGAAGATTGAGGTCATGCCAGATGAGGATGGCCGAGCCCAGGGCATGAGCCCTTTTGATATCTCAGGTAGCAGAAGTGAAAGAAGGCTGGATGGTGCTTACTGCACAGGGTCCTGGGCTAAGCACAATGCTGATGTGACACCAGGGTCCCATGCAGAAGTTCTGGAGTCACCTTGCAGGGAGGAGGACCCAGGTGGGTGAGTACCCTCTGTAGCAGGCTGTGCTGGGTTGAAGGATCTGAGAGCAGGGGGACAGATGTCCTCTTCTAGGATGTTAAACTGACTTTCCGTGAACACCCTCAGGATTTCTGCTTCCTGCTGAACGATGTGGAAAGCAAGCTTTGCTGTTATTACCTGGGCTTACGCTTTCTGGATGCATTGCTCGTTTATCATTGAAGGATCACGACAGGTTTCTTCCTTTCCAAGAGTGTGCTTCATAAATGTCCAGCACATCTTTAACAGGGAACTCCCAAGATAACGTCACTGGTACTTGTCTTGAGAGCCCCTCTCACTCTCTGACAACATATTTATTGTCTTGCTCATTGTGTCTCCCCAGCTAGGATGTTCCCTCTCGAAAAGCAAGGGGGCAGCCTGCCCGCTCACCATGGGTCCCCCATGTGGGAGAATGCTGCCTGGCACCCAACAGATTCTCAACAAACATTGGCTAAATGAGTAATCCCATGGGCACAGGAGGAAGAGCTCATGGAAACTCACAGGTATCAGGCCTAAAGGTGCCCACAAAATTCCAACGCCAGGGAGGCCGTGGGAACATTTTCCTGACTTTGGAGAGCAAGCTGGGACCTTGGGACATATTTAATCTGATTGCGACATGAATAATAATGATCATTCTTAATAAATAAAATCGCCACCTATTTTTGCATAGCATGTGTTCTGGGCTGAATTGTGTCTCCTACAAAATTGGTATGTGGAAGCCCTAATGCTCAGTACTTCAGAATGTGGCTGTATTTAGAGATAGGGTCTTTAAAGAGGTGATTAAGTTAAGGTGAAGCCCTTAGGGTGGGCCCTAATCCAATCTGACTGGGGTCCTTATAAGAAGAGGAAGTTTGGACACACAGTGAGACCCTGGGATGCGTGAACACAGCGAAAGACCATGTGAGCACACAGCAAGAAGGTGGCTGTCTGCAAGCCAAGGAGGGAGGCCTCAGGAAAAACCAGACCTATTGATGCTACGATCTTGGACTTCCAGCCACAGAACTCTGAGAAAATAAATTTCCATTATTTAAGCCATCCAGTTTTGTTATGGCAGCTCTAGCAAATGAATACGGCATGCTACTCTCTTTAACTAGCCTACCATGTTCCTTAAATAGCGTTTGCCTACAGACTCACCACGTGGGAGGATATTCCTGCATCTGAAGAAAAAGTCCACTGTTCCACTGACTCGCTCCATCAGAGAGATGGGAAGACAGTCAGGTCTTCCAGGAAGCGGATCCAGGGAATTTTCCTCCTGCCCCGTCTCTCCTGCCCTCCCCACTCCTACCCACAGCTTCTGGTGAGGATAGTCAGAGCTGAGCTCACCCCTTCTTGGAGTGAGCTTCAGCTGGTAAGTTGGTAATGGGTTGAATTGTGTCCCTTGACCCTCTAAAAAAAGATATCCTAACCCTCAGTATTTCAGATGGTGACCTTATTTGGAGAGAGGGTCTTTGCACAGGCAATCAAGTGCAGATGAGGTCCTTGGGGTGGGCCCTAATCTGACTGTCTTACAAGGGGGAAATTTGGCTGTAGAGAAAGAAGTGCACAGAAGAAAGATGATGTAAAAGACAGGGAGAAGATGGCCATCTATGAGCCAAGAGAGAGGCCCTCACAGCCCCCAGAAGGAACCAACCCTGCCAACACCTTGATTTGGGACTTCTAGCCTCCAGAACCATTAGATAATATATTTCTGTTTAAGTCACCCAATTTGTGGTACTTTGGTACAGCAGCCCTAGCAAACTAACAAACCAGTGATCCAAAGAGGACTTTCCCACTGATGGGAGCTGTGATTGGCTACACCGAGGGCTCCTAGGGACTAGAGGCCCATTTGGGGTAGGGGGCATGGCGTGTATGCCAGTGGGAATGTAAATAGAGGCAGCACTGGCTACCCAAATGTGGGCATAAGCTAGTCCTGCCTTTCTAAATAGGGAATAATAAGTGCATTTATCTCTCAGGGCATCATGTAAAGTTGTGGTGAGATACACCACAAAGAATGCTTAGCACAGCGGCCAGCACATAGAATGTGATCAATGAACGACGGCTAGTTCTGTTACTAATACGTCAAGGATGTTTGAAGAAGCAGGTAATTACGCGATCGCTGTGCCTACGCGAGTGTAGTTTATGGCATATGGGCATGTTGGTATGTGTGTGGTGGGGCTGTGTATGTCAGGAGGCATACGGGGGCTGAGAGCAGGTGTTCCCAGGTTCTTGAATGTTGACTGATGTGGGCAGACATTTGTAGGGATGCAGACGTGTTCATATGTCACATGCATTCAGTTGTGTGTAGTCTCCTTCATTTGTTCACTGGTTCATTCATTCATTCATCAAAATTTTGTGGATGCTTGCCCACACATATACACCCAATGTCGAAAGTAAATAGATAAGGGAACTATGATAGAGATAAGTTAAGGCATTAAAGGAGAATGGAGAAGAATTTATTTGTTTGATATATCAGGGAAGACTTCCTGGGGGAGGTAACACTTGTGCTGAACCTGGCCACAGGAAGAGAAGCAACAAGGCCTGACATGTAGAGAAACTGTATGCCACCTAAAACTACACAGTTTGGATTGTTTCCATTCCTCAGAACCCTTCTACTCCCAGCTGCCCCCCACCCCCACCCCACACCACCACCAGCAACCCTCCAGAGTCCCAGGGAACAGGATCACAGAACAGAGAGAAGGCACGGGTGCCAAGGGGCCAATACTTTATTTCGTACAGACCAAACACACTGGGAGCCCCACACCCCGCGGAATAGGCCCTTGCTGGGCCCCTCTCGCCTCGTGAGGGTGGCCACGCTGGCTGTATGCGGACTAAGGGCCCCTGGGGAGGCCAGGCCCGTGTGTGTCTCTCTCTCTCTCTCCAGATAGTTGTGGAATCGGAAGTCTTCGAGGGCAGTGCATCTCAGGAGGCTGGAAACAAACGTAGGTCAGAGCTGATAAATGGGGCACAGGAAGTATGTCTTGGTGAGGAGAATCACAGTGCGGGGAGTCCTGGGAGGCCCATATTCCCAGGTGGCATTGCTGCGGGAATGCCACCTGGAGACGTGAAGGTGTGTAGGCAGCAGAAGGGGAACAGTGGGAAGGTTCCTGAAGAATCAAAATTTGCCAGAGCAGGTAACCTGACATTTAGTGCAGTTCCTGGGTGCCAGGCTCTGTCCTTGGGATCCCCCTGTCATTCTCACCCAACTCACAATATTACTTTACATCATTGGTATTATTATCTCCATTTTCCAGCTGAGAACACAGATGCTCAGCAAGGTCACATCACTGCCCAAGGTCTCACGGCCAGTTACAGAAAGAACTGTATCTCATCATACATATGCATCATGGGGAGCAGGGCTGTACTGTTTAGTTCAAGACTCCAGCATGGAAGTCAGGGCAGAGGCGAATTTCTAGGCAGGTGCTCCGTTGTTACCGTGAGCATTACTGGGAGGGGGAAAGGGGACCTGAGTTTAAAAAGAAATGGCAGAGACAAGATGTTCTGTGACGACTTCTGCTAAGGACTGCTCCCCTTATGGATGTGTGCCCTTTACTTGGCCTTTGAAACTGCGTTCTGGGTCCCCGAGAGCATAATAATGTAAATGAATATCAGATCTCGCCTCGGTAATTGAGAGCAGAGAGAAGGCCATGTAAAGTCAAATTAATTTACTCTGAAACATCAGAGCCCATCTCCATGGAAGGGGCAATGGCTTTTTGATGGGCTGAGGGTGCTTCTCGGAGTAGCAGGTGTCTAGAAGTGGGGGGCGTGCATGGCTCATCTTGGTCCAGGACACATTCGGGAGGGGGGCAAGGTGAGGGCTGGGTGCCCACCTGCAGCCTGAGCCCGGAGCAGCTGTGAGTTCTAAGATTTGATAAGAGGGAGATTTATATGGCCATGAGCTATCATTGGGCTGTGGGTTTGCATTGTATCAACCTGGAGAGCGGCTCTCACACCGGCTCCACTGATGCCCAGACTGACCTAAGGGGCTTTGCACTTCAGTCTGGAGCCATGAAGTGTGATGCTCAGTGGTCCGCCCTGAGCTTTGAAACATGCCCTTTGAGGGGCTGTGAGAGGCTGGCACCGCCCTAGAACTGGGAGTCAGGGTGGCTGGGTTGGCGACAGATTCACTGGGTGACCTTGATCTTGAGGTCTCCCTCATTTGTTCAGTCTGCGAGTTCCAACAGCCCTTTTGCTATAGGGTTCTCAGGCCGACCTCAGTTTGGGGGTCAATGGAGGCAACCTCTTTAAAATCCAGCTTCACCAGGATCGCTCTGAGTTTACTCAGGAAGATGCCTGCAATACGGACCTAAGGAAAAGCATTACAGAGAAAAGAGGTGATCCTGGAGTGTTCAAACCCCAGTTCTCTGCCTGGGTGATGGGGTGCAAGTGGCTTCACCTCTTCTGATTCTTAGTTTGTCAACCTATAAAATGGGAATCAAAACCTCTTGGGGTTATGACAGGTCTTAAATGGCTACCTGATATATACATTCAATACATGTGAAGCCATGATTCACAATGAATTCCTCGTCCTGCCTTTCTCAGGACTGGGAATAGGAGAGAAGGCAGAGAGTGGCTCCTCTTCTGTCACAGTGCTTCTCTGTGACCACTGCACGTGTCCCCTCCTCCCTCCTCCTGGGGCCTCAGTGTCTCTCTGGATATTTAATGCAAGAGTTGGACTTCACTATTTCCAAGGCCTCTTCAGCCCTAGCCTGACCCCTACCGCCACAGACCTCCCATGGCTGTGTGGACGGAACACCATCACAGCTCCGCCAGTCCAGGTGGGAGGGAGTGCCGGAAAGAAAACAAGACAAGAGGGGGCCGGTCGAGTGGCTCAGTTGGTTAAGAGCTCGCTCAAGAGTTTGAGCTCTGAGCAACAGCGGTTCGAGTCCAGCCCGAGCTGAGCAGCCGCTGAGCTGCCAACAGGTAGCAGGATGGCTCAGCTAAAAAAAAAAAAAAAAAAAAAAAAAAAAAAAAAAAAAAAAAAAAACAACAAAAAAGAAAACAAGACAAGAGGTGTGTGTGGGGGGGGGGCGGACTTTCAAAGTCCAGTATCTTCTTTAGCACTGTCCCCCAGGACCCTCTTGCTTTCCAATGTGTCTGCATTTTAAAGTGCAAAGGAATAAGTGGCACCTAGCAGAGGTTTTCTGATAAGCTAAAACCTCTCAAAACCCTCGTCCCTAGAGAGATCAGTCACAGCATTAAAAGCAGTAGGAGCTACTGGTTCCCTCTAGGCTGCCAGGCGCAGGTGGACGGTCTCGCCTTCTCGCCCCCACACGATCCCGGCCTGTCGCCCTTACCTGAGATGGCTCCTACTTCTGGAGATACTTCTTCATTATGCTCTCCACTCCCTCCTCTTTCCTCCCTGTCCCCTGCTCTCTGTGGTTGGAGGGCGTCTGCTCACCGCCGTCACCCTCCAGCCGTGGGATTCTTGGTCGACTCTTGATGCTGTCGGCGCTTTTGAAGGACACGATGGAGCTGGAGGAGGAAGATGAGTCGGAGAGGTGAGCGGGGTCCTCCTTGGACTCCGGGCTCTTTTTCAAAATGGTCTTGATCCCTGAGAGAAAGGTCCGGTCGGCCTCTTCCGTCTCAAAGTGGACGCCTGAATGCTGTGAATGGTCTTGCCCATCTTTGGCCGCTCTGGCCAAGGATGGAGAAGCCCCGGGCTTCCGGATAGCCGGGAGGAAGTCATCAAAACCCACGCTGGTCTTGCGTTCATAGTTGAGGCCTGAGAACTTGCATCTGAATGGGTCACTGCTCAGAGGTTCCCCCATGAGGTGGGCGAACTGGCGGTTCTGGAAGACCAGTGGCTCCTTCCCGAGGTCTGGGCAGCCTGGGTCATCCAGTGAAGATTCCAGACAGCGCCTCCGAGGACGCAACGTGGGCGACAAGAGTGTGTCCCTGGGTGTGATGGGGGGGCTCACTGTTCTCCCCGGGGCAGGCCCTGATTCTAAGAGGGATTCACAGGAACTGAACCGGGTCTTTAGCTTCTTGGGGAGCAGTGGGGCACCCTCCACGCTCTCGGAAGAGATGCACTTCAGGCTGGTGGACCGCAGGAGACCAGCTGATGCCCCGGCGCCGTCTTCAGTTTCCAGGGGTGACGCTGCCCCACATCTCAGTGGCAGGTGTCCCTCGTCACTGCCTGCCCTGGCCCTCCTCAGCGTGGACGCCCCAGTGGTCTGGTAGATGGGGAGAGTGGGCCAGTCCTCCAGGCCCAGCGCTGAGCCCTGGCCTCTCCGTGCTCGTTTCTTTCGGAGCCCTTCCACAAACTCTGACAAGGCCGCCGAAGGACTCGGCAGCTTTCCCCTCGACACCGGGGACATGTCTGTCCTCCGAGAAGACGGAGAAGGAGACAGAGCTCCTAATCTCTCCGGGGGCTTTCTCTGGACATCACACTCTTCGCCTTCCCCAAAATGGCAGTACTTCTGCCGGCGGAGGGAGAGGGGAGACGGGGATTTATCCCCCGCGGTCTTGCTAGGGGCATCCCGGCTTCTGCTCAGTGCCGACACCTGTTGGGTCCTTTCGGCGTCACCAGCCTCCTCATTCACCCTGTGCCGAGAAGAAAGATGCAGTCAGTAGAAACCGTGTACTTCATACAATGTGTGCAATTGGCGTGAGAGCCACTAAGCACAAGCACTAATATTATTTTTCTTTGGAAACGCCATCCTTAACCGCATTCTCAAATGAACCGTATGATTTAATGTGCAAATTCCAGCCATATAAATGATTTCTTGTTGCTTTCTGAAATGCAATTTCTGTCTATAATTAAACCCAGCTAAGTACATTTGAGTAGATTAAAACCACAGTGAGGACGAATGACTTAGATTTATGAGGTGTCGTATCTGACATGATGGGCTCCATCATCCCAGAGCCCACTGTGAAATAAGTCATTTGCTTCCTGAAGACTTGAGGGGACCCGCAGGAGGTGGGTTATTTGTTTAGGACCAAGCTCAGAGGACAGTCCCACCAGCAGGGCTTCTGAGAGTCAATGACCCAAATATGTGTCTCAGTGGGACGCTCCTTGACACCCCGGATTGTTTCGTGGGCGGGGGTGGAAGTAAAAATGGTCCCCTCAAAAGGGAAAGATTTACATGAAATCCACACGAAACCAAGACTATACACAAGAGGACAGACGGTTTCTATTCTGGGACTACACCAGGCTTGGCTTCCACACAGTCATTTTGCAGCAGCTCAGCCAAAAACACGTTCCTCCCTAAAAGAAGGAGCCCGGCAGTGGGGCGAAATTATAGGCTGTAAAATAAAAGGTGTCACTTAAAGGCGAGAGACTGGAGTCCATCAACCCCTTCCTTTAATAAATAAAATCTGTTTGTCCTTCCTTTAAGACAAATGACCCTGAAACCACCCACCAGCAAAGTTACAATGTATAAAAAAGCAAAACAGGTGCTGAATGTCAGCGCTTGGGCACCACGGACGCAGACAAAGCCAGGAGCTGGGAACTGAATAAGGCTGGGAGTGACGTGTGCGTGGGTTCCTAGTCATTATCCACTCTCTGCATTGTTCTAACTGTGACAACGGGGGTCAGCCCTCCACACATAAAGGGTGGTTGGGACTCTGGTACAAGACTTGAGAGGGTTTCTTGCTCAGCACAGTTTAATATGACCATGCCCACCCCCTAATCACACAGGACAGGACAATGACATAAAGGGTTTTTGAGTCTGGGAAGAAAGCCAAGCCACTGGACCCTGGAGGTGGTGCCTACGGCGGGGAGGAGGCTACAGGTAGGGTAGCGGATCAGGGTCTTTTCCAGGGACGTGGGTAGGGACCTAGACACTGCCTTCCTGAGCTCTTGAGGCCAGAGCTTCAACCATCCCATGTGCCTTTCTCCTGTCTCTTTGGGGTTGGCAGCAGCCTCCCCAGACTCGGGACCAGTGGGAGGTTGCCATGGCAATGATGCTCTCTGTTAAAAGGTTTCATGAGTCACAGGCACGGGGCTGGGTGTGCTCCTCTGCCTTTCCTTATTCCCAAGGTCAGCTAGGCAGAAGGCCAATGTCATGGTGTGCGGGTGGTGGGGAGACACAGGGTCAAGGTCGTGATGTAGATGAGCCGCCTCCATCCCCCCCGCTCCTCACCATCCTTAGTCCTCCTCTTGCAGGGCCAGCCTCCCTACTCCCCTCCCAACTTCCTGCCTCAAGCTGTCCTCTTGCTCGCTCTGTCCAGCCCCTCAGGACAGGCCAAGCCCCTCCTGATTCCTGCACCTCCTCCCACATCAGTCATGGTGCTGGCCTCATGGGGAAGTTATGGGAATGAAAGAAAAGACATGGGCACAGTGTCTGGCATCTGACACCTCAAACAACGGTTAACAGTTAGGAAGAGTCATCAATAACTAATAATAAACGGCTATGAATCATTAATAATTACAGTTAATGGTAATCACTATTACTTCTAAAAAATCTCCTGAGCCTAACCTACCATTGGACTGAATGAAAGCTTCAGTTGAAGTTCCAAGAGGGATGAATAGAGAATGAGTGGGCAGGTGACCTTGCATCGCATCATTGCTGAGAAAGGTCGGCCCCCCTGTGCTAAAACAAAGGCCACCCAATTTGCCTGCAGCAGCTGCCTCTTTTCCCATTTCTTGGCTGTCAGCGTCCGTCTCCATCACAGCTGGATACAGGCTCCTTTATGAGCACCTGAAAGGATGTTTGTCAACATCATGGCATTGGAATCGCTCCCCTAATACATGGCAAGATGGCATTCTCATTGCTTTCTTTCTTTCTTTTTCTGTTTTAATAAACAGCTTGGAGCTACCAGGGGCAGTGGGCTGCCACAGAGCTAACAGAAGTCATTTCTGTCCTGTCTGAGCCCTGAAGGGAGCCGGCTGTGAGGAATGTGTCACGGGTGTTCAGTCTTGTCCCATCACCTGCCACGTGGGGACGGCGGCATCCAGGGCTCTTGTCGCAGAATCTCCTGGGACCCTGCCATCCTGCTCACCCCAACTCCCGCCTCCAGCGCTGGGTTTGGACACCAGGATGGCATGAGGAAAGGGGGGGAAGAGACGTTACAGGAGGAGGAGGAGGGGGAGGAAGAAAAAAAGGGCAAGCGGAGAGGAGGCGAGGGCGTCACAGAGCTTGAGACCGTGCTGTCAAGATCTTGCCGACCCCCATTTCTGCTCCCTCTGAGTTGGCACACAGTAGGTGCGCAGTAAATGTTGAATTAAATCAAGTCTGCTTTGGCAATCAAGCCTAAGAGGAAGTAGGTAGGATGAGAAAAGTGGCAGAGGGGAAACAGAATTGGGAAGAAGAGGAAGTAAGACACATGAGAGAGAGGTTGAAGAGAGAATGGATGGAGGAGATGGAGAAGCAAACGAGAGGCCGATGGTGACAGAGGAGGGGGAGGCACAGGGAAAGTGAAGCTCAAAGGCAAGGGGGCTGGTGGGGAGGGCTGTAGAGGGGGTGCAGGCTGGCAGCTGAGCATCTGCCCTCCTCTTGGACCAAAAGTGGGACAGGCTGAGGTGCCTCAAGCCATCCGCAGCCCAGGAGTGGGGTCTGGAGGTTCCAGCCTGTGAGTGCTGGTGTCCAGGACAGAGGGCACAGGCTTGCTGAGCCCACGCCATCGGGATCCCCAGCTCTGCCTTCCCCAAGGTGCGCTGGCCCACGTGTCCCAGCACAGCCACTCAGGCCCCAGCCTGGTTGTCACCAGATGGTGATCACTGAGCTCTGCCAAGGGGTCCAAGGGCCTGGTATCTCGGGGTGGGCTAGTCTGGGCCCCACCTTTCGAGAGCTCTCGGGTGCCTTCAGCTGGTGGGCTTGAAACAGAAACACAAGCCAAGCAGTGTGGACTCCTGAGAGCGGGAGAGGACAGGGTGTGGGGGTAGAGCGAGGAGAGAGCGAGGGAAGGTGGGGAAGGGAGGAGGAAATCTTGGCGGAGCACTGCCTCCTGGGTTTACCATTCAGAAATCCACCCACATCGCTGTGACATCTTTCTCCATTTCACGTCTGCATTACCACTCAAAGGAAGACGTTCCTTGCGCCCACTCCTGTCTGTGTGGAGAACGCAGCATTTAATCTGAATTCCGATGCTTTCTTGCAGGCTTCAGGGTAAGAGCCCCAGCTCTGCTGTCTGAGGCCAGATGATCCTCTCCATTTCTGTCCCGCACCCTGCTGTCTTCATCCAGGGGGCTGGGAAGACTCTCTCTCTCTTTTTTTTTTTCCAGCCGTCTTCACTGGACGGCTTGGCTCAGATAGAACTCCCCTCCAATGGCATCATGGGATGGCTGGCGGATGGATAATCAAGATGTCACTGCACCTGCCTCCCACAGCCTTGGCCAAAGGGAGGGATGATGGATAGAAGGCTCTCCAAGATGCTGGGAGACAGGTGTGGAAAAATGCCAGGCGGGGCACTGGGATTCCATACGGCGAGACTCCAGGAACATCGTGGGAACTTCTGCTGCTTGCCCCTTAGTCTATCTGAAAAGGCTTCTAGCATTTCTGCCATAACAAGGAGCCAGTGGGCATCCCGGAGGTCCAGCCATCACGGTGTCGGGCTGGCCCCTAATTGAGTGGCGGGGATAGCCAATGGTTGCTCCACAGCTACCCCTGGCTGAGTGCCTGCTGTGTGCCAGGCGCTCCGCCAGTGCCATGGATACGAGAGGCACCAAGCTGATAGGCCTCCCGCCGTCATGGGGCGGACTGCCATATTCACTTACAATCTTTACAGCAACCCTGGAGGCAGGGATTATGACCTTGAGGCACAGTGAGGCGGGTGACCTCCAGAAGCACACACAGGTGGAGGGGACAAAGGCGGGTTCCCACCCCAGGCTAAGCTGACCCCACAGCCAGTAACGCCATTCTCTGTAAACGTCCTCTGAGCCCTGTGATGTGAATCAGGGTTCACGGTATTTACTGTGTCACCGTGTCCAGGGAGCATTTGTCAGTTCGAGCCTACCTGCTTCCACCGCTCACGAGCCATGTGGCCTTGGGCCTCAGTTTCCTTAGCTATAAGATAGGGGAAACTCTGTCTTGCAATGTTGTGCAGACTTGAACTCCAGGAGGGCAGGGGTGCCCATACCCTGGTGCCTTGAATAGTGTCGTGGCACATAGTAGGTGCTCAAAAAACAAGTATTGAAAAATGAGTGAGATGCCAGCTTCCTGGCACATGGCAGGTTCTCGGTAAATATGTGTTGAATGAATGAGTGAATCTTGAGCCCTCTGGCACATAGTAGGTACTCAATAAGTATGTGGTGGATGCATGAGTGAAGCTCCGGTGTCTGCCACATAGTAGGTATCCAATAAATGTTTATTAAGTGAATTGATGAACAAAAGAATATATATATGAAAATGCTCTAAGTATTGGTGGCTTAAACTGATGAAGGTTTATCAGGTAAATCAGGATATGAACAACCAGAAATACTGGAATTTCTTTCTAACCCACAAGGCTAAGATTCAAATTCTGGCTCTGTCCCTTCCTAGCCAGGTATCTGGTGGAGCCTGAGATTGCTGAGCTCTAAGAGTAAGAATGATATGCCTATCTCACAGCGTTCTCTGGAGAATTAGAGATGGCACATGGGAGAGGTCTAGTCAGTACCCGTGAGG